TGGGTTGGGGAGGGGTGTAGGCTGGAGGAGAGGAGTTCGTTGCGGATGCGGGCCCAGACTCCTGGGGTGCGCAGGGAGAGGTGGATGGCGGAGCGGATGGAGATGGCGGTGGTGTCGGCGCCGGCGAGCATGTTGATCATGAGCCAGCCGACGATCTGGCCGTCGGTGATGGTGGGGTTGGCGGACTTGGCTTCGATGAAGCGGTCGAGGTAGTCGGGCTGGGGTTGGGTCGGGGTGGGGGTTTTCTTCTTCTCGTCGTCGTCTTGCGATTTGGATTCTTGGGATGCGTCGGCGCCCTGGTACCGCGCGATGAGCCGGCCTACGCAGCTGCCCGCGAGAGCGTTCATCTCTCCGGGGCGCTTGAACATCTGTACGATGCGGTTCTTTTCTAGCACGCGGTCGAGGAAGGGCACGCATCCCACCCATGCGAAGTAGTCCTGGATCTTCTCGGCCGCGCGGAGTGTGCCGTCAAAGTCGGCGCCGGCGGAGAGATAGCCGAGGGGCTGGGAGAAGGTTACAGAACCTACGACGTCCCAGGTATCTGATGGGAGCGCGGCAGGACTCGTTAGATATCTTCGGGTTTGTGCCTTTTTTTTCCATGTGATAGGGGGTTACTCAGGGGGAGGAGAAAAATGAAAAAGGCCTACTAACAGTACAAAATCCATTTTCCCAGGTCAAAGGCCTTTCCGGTAGCACCGCAAGTGGCAGCGAATCTCTTGTCTAGCTCGCTACAGAGCTGCGCGATTGTCTCGTCTATGAGGGGTTCCAGCGTGGCGACACTGGCGGGCGAGTAGTACTTGGCGATGGGCTTTTTCTCGGCCGCGTGCTTCTCCTCGTCGTCCTGGCTAAAGAGGGTGTGCACAATGTTGCCGTCGATGAGGGAGCTGCCGGAGCTGTAGTAGGTGGTCTTGTTATCAATGATGTTTTGTCAGCAAAGGAGCTACATAACGGTACGTGTGGTGATAAGGGATGGGCGTGGAACCTTTTTCCAAGCCCCCTTAGTGCTGAAAACGGTTTTAATCAGCGAGGGGTCGTCCACATCGAGGACGTTTGGTCCGATGCGTACAACTGGCCCGTACTTCTCATGAAGACGGACCAGGACGTGGTGGAAGCTGCCTTGGGCGATGTGGTACGTTCGCCATAGATTGGTAAATTCTAGGCACCATCAGTCAGATCATGGGGTCTCTGAGTTTGGGGGCTTGGAGTTACTTACTAGCCAGGAATGGGCCCGGATATTGCCTCAACGGAGAAGCGAGATAGGAGGCTAGGAGGTAGGCAAAAAGGGCTCCCAGAGTCGCCAGCAGGTATTTGGTGAACCCACTTGCGGTGAGTATCTGCCCCGGGATGAGGACTAAAAGGTGGTCGCTCATCTTTGCCAGTGGGCCGCAGTGAACGTGTGAGTTCTCTGTGGGTTAGTTCACAGTTGGTGTTTGTTGATGTCACCCAGTGCCGTATCTCGGTGGTAGACCGTCATAAGGCCTTGATGCGACACTGCGACTCTGCAAAGTGACTCGGGTGAGAGCCCAGGAACGAGGCTCAAGCGCCAAAGATGTCACCAGGGAGTATTTGAAGCGAAGCGGGGAAGCAATGGCTGTGCTGCCCGTCTCCGGAATAGTCAATTACTCAATTATTCCTTGTCTCGAGTTTTCGGTTGTTGGCCGGTCGCAGGGGGTCACACCCTTCACGCAGGCGACAGTCCGCGAACGACCTATCCTGCAGGCGGCTCGGCGTTGGGGAGCCAATCAGGCCAGGCACATGAGACGTGACATGTTCATATCGACTCCCTCCATGACATCCCCGCGCCAACAGGAGCAAAAGTACCGGCGCCGGTTCGTGCCCAGTGACCCCAGTCCGCATACGGTTACGGCGATGTCCATAAGATATCCGGATCAGTCCAAAACCCAACGCACTTGGAGCCGTCTCCATAATTTATTTCGACAAGCCAGGGTTGCCAAGGTTGCAGTGAGACATCGTGACACCGCACATTGCCCCGGTTCGAGCATTTCTGTCGGTTTCGATTCAGACAAGTGACAACTCACCACACAATAACACATCGAAGACGATTTGAGGCCATCTCACCGATGATCCCGACCACGAGCGCTTCTTCGCAATCACTTACTAATGTAACAGATGTCCCCACCATTCTCTGGATTGATGTAATCCATTATCCTCCCATTGGCGACGAATTTGGGGTAATCATCCAGCCCGTCCCCCCCACTCTTTTTTGACGAAATACCCTGCTGAATTCGTTCGTTAGCGCATCACATCAAGACCGGGATCCGAGAAAAGTGGGTGCCCTCCCTTTAACTAGCGGGCCGCCGAGTCAAGCGAAGAAGTCGGCGCGCTCTCGCCTCGATGGCTTCCTCACTCCCGCGGCTCACTCACATTTATGGATTAGTTAGGGTCGGGTTGGTGAGATTTGACTCGACAACCCCCGACGCCTGCGCGTGATATCCACGTGACTGACTCGCTGCTCGCTCATTTTTTTCATTGGCCAAGTGTCAGAGGGAACCCCACCATCCCAAACAACCCAGAATAAGCCCCTCCGCGTTTCAGTCTTCTTCCCCTCCGGCACCGTGGCACCTCGCTGGGACCTCATCCCAGGTTGCTGAACGCGCAGGCATCGGGCGAGGCAACCAGCATCAGCCCATCCCATTTCCAACGCCCAACTCATCCCAAACCATCCTTCAACCGTCCTTTGCCTTGTGTGTGTCGCGTCCCACCGCCATTTCACCCACCCACGCGCCAAGCCATCCCCAACACCGCAACCCATCCCCCACCACGATAACCTCCATACTCCCAACACCCGGGCCACCCCTCAACGGACCCAACAACACCAACACCAACAACAATGGCATCCACCAACCCGCTCCCCAACCCGCACAACCCCAACCACAACCCGCACAACCCCCCCCTCACCACCACCACCATGACCACCACAGCAACCCCATCACCAACAACCCTCCCCGCCCCGCATCTCCGCACCACCGCCCTCCTCGCCTTTGTCCCCGCCCTCCCGCTCTGTGTCACACACGGCGCCCTCTCCCGCGACATCGTCCCCGCCCTGGGGCTGGTCCCGCTATTTTTCTCGGCGGCCGTGTCGTTTGGGTTTGGTGTTGAGTGCTCGGAGGAGGTCGAGTTCAAGCGCTCGTATGGGGGTGGGGATGGGGGGGGTTGGTGCGGGTTGTGGTTGGGGTTGTGGGGGTTGGGGAGGGGGTGAATTCGAAGGCAGTGGCGATGATATTAGATCTGCCGGTCTACTGGGAGGCGTTTTACAGCTGGGTCTGCTTCTGCTTCTGCTGCTGCTGCTGCGGGGGGGAGAGGTGGGGAGGAGTGGGAGGAGGAAGTTGGGGAGGAGAGTGGGCTTGGGCTTGGAGTAGGGGAGGAGGAGGAGGATGAGGATGGAGGTGGGTGGGGGACGTC